GGTACCAGTATAACAAGTATAAGTACTTGTATTATAACTTCTGTGTTACATACATACACACATACATATTAAATTAATTATTATGTTTATCAGCTTACTCCGGTAACTGTTTGACGAAGAACTCGATTAGTTTCAAGCCCTTAATTTAAGCCCCTAAAATGGCTTGAAACCAATCGAGTTGCACTACATGTACTTACTATATAGTTACATACAATTGAGACGAAAAACAATATTAGTTCTTTTCACAAGCATTTGAAAGTAAGTGTAACCTGTTTTAATTATTTAGCACAAAAATTGGGTAACAGAAACCAAAAATCATTAATAATGAATAAGAGCCAGCCATTCTTTAGTAGAAATTCGAAACACTTAAAGGAATTCGTCTTTTATTTCATCCACCTGAAACAAATGCAAGCTCTGTTTTCCAATAGAATAAAACTATCTAGTAAGCTTGCACTAAAAGGAATTGAAATCGAGATCTCTCTCTACTGACGTCCAAATTCACGTGCATTAGACAGGGCTATAAATAAAGATTCCAGGTACAACTAAAAACAGAATAATGTAACATTTACAAACCTACACATTTTAGAAGCAGTCAATCAAAGTTTGACGTCACAACGCCAGCTTTGAACTCCATCAAAATTCTTCTTGTGTATCATTTGTTTATGTTTAAGTACTGTTATGGCTTAAACATGTAAACGTATTATGTAAACGACTGCATGAAGTATACTCAAAGTCAATTTCAAGAACGGTAAATCAAATAAAGAGATTTTGAAAAAATAAGCTAGGTAAAATTATAGGCAAGCACACAAAAATCTTGCGTTCCGCGCGCGCCTCAAAGAGTCATCAGACTACCACGGATGGGGCTGATGCCGATTCGGAGTCGCGGAGAACCTAACGGGTTACCGGGGCTCCGGCTCGAAGTGCAGGAGAAGGAACGGGGTGGTTTTAAGTCAGTAAGAGTCTGACATTCCCTCCCACCTCACCCAGGCGGGAGAAGTCATTCGATGAATTTACCCCTTAAAAAAAGCACACAAAAGTCTAAACCCAGATACATATCCTGAAATAAAATGGAAATCTGAGCTGGAATTTAGTTATATGTGACTTTCATAAGGTAGGGTCAATCAAGTGATAGTGTTTGTAAGTCATCTATTATTCTATATATTGCAAAGTGAAGCTAACCTATTACTGTGTGTTCAAGACAAGAGTTCTATTTTCACAAAGAATACCAACATCAAGCCAATTTGATTTAAGACTCTGTAGGTACTGCCCCCAATCTAATTGGAAAAAGGCCAGGATCCAAAATGAAAGAAGAATTGATATACAGCAGCTAATTACCTGATAATTGCAATCGTTTTAACACGAAAACCGATTGTAATAAACGACCACCTTACGAGAAACATTCGAAAACGCCCGACAGGTTTCGAACCACACCGGGATTCATAAAAATGAGCAATTCATCATCGTACTTAACCTTTAGCCGTAAATATAAAGATAAGTTTGACGTACGTTGAAAGTGTAGACTTTAAAAAAGAAAATATTCATAGCTGACGTGTTCGCAGACGCTATAAATTATTCGCTTTCCGCAAGGAATGTAAACAGTGTATATTTCAATCATCCACCGCATCATTGGCCTAGATTTTAGAGGTGAAATAAGCTAAACCCTGCGCAAACCCATCTTTCACCAATATCAAGGAAACAGTAACATAAATCTGCAGTAGGAATTGAAATAAAAGCGCTGATTATTATTACGATCGAATTACGAAAACGAAGACGATTACGAAGATCAGATCATAATTCCACTATTACTTGGCTCGCAAGATGCAAGAAGAAGGCTATAATGGGTGTATCTACTAGACTACCTAAACTTACCTACTAAGCCTATCGATGGACGAATATTAACCGGAAATTGAGAGTTCCTCTTCCTCAAACCTTTAGGGTCAGCAAGTACTTCGAAAAAGGAGAGCGAAGAAGAAAAATGAGACTTTTAGGCCTGATAGTAAGACGCAACGCTTATTAAACAGACGAATTGCTTAGAACCTACACAATTTTCTTTGGTCTATGTGAAATCTAAAGACCATTTTCAATTCCATTCTTCATTTAGTAAGAGACCCAAAAATAACTCCAAAATGATTCGTTTATTGCTCCAATGAATAGGTAACAGAAATATCGTATTGTCCATAACATTTCTATTGTACATTTCGTTCCTTGTTTTGGCAACAACGCTGCGTGTAAATTACCGAGTTATTAAGATTAATTAAAATTAATTGGCTGTAATAGAACTTGAGTAGATGGTTTAAAACTCCCACCCTTTATAATGCTGTAATAGTATGCATTAAGGATATGATGGCATAATAAGGAGATAGATGTATCTACCTAATTAATAAGTGTTTTCCGGGTTAATGAATTGATTCGACTTTAAATGTTTTTCAACCGATTTGACTTTAGGTGGGACATAGATTAATGAGCGTTTAGACGAGAAATTCATTTTATAATTGTTTCTCTAATAAACTATGAGCGTCGTAGGGATATTAACACAATTTTCCATATCCAGCGCTTAATTTTTTTATGCAATACAAGGCAAACGAGCAGACGACCTCATCGTTCGCTTGATAAAATTGACGTGTAAAAGTGCTGCCTTGTAGCCTATTTGCAGAAATAAATTCGATTCTTTCACTTAACGGATCACCTGATAGTAAGCGATCAACGCCACTCATTAACACTCGCAATCCCAGAGGAGTCACACACGTGCCTTGCTGGCATGTCTTGAGAACTAAGTTTTAATACTTATATATTTTACTTTTATATTACATTATCCTCATCATATTAAATGAAAATGTTTATTCTGTTCAACAGCTCAGTTTTCATCCTACAGCAGCCTGTAAGCTTATTCCAGGTTCCATGTAAATTACTAGTCTATGTTCTTAACCGTTATTTGCCAATTTCAAAAAGGCTTCACCAGCTTCTCTTGAAGTGAATAGCCCAACCGTTTTCTACAACAACAAGTACTTTTAACATGTAAACTTCTAACAATTCCATTATAAAAGTTAAATTCAGCTGCTTCTATCCAGCCGAGATTAAGTACTGAATTTTTTATATTAGTTTATGTTAGTGTGAAAGTAATTTGGGCTGTGATTGCGGACTAGTTTCGTAGGACAACTAGTAACCACATTATATGCTAGTATATTAGCAGGTCTAACTTGACTATAATACTTTAGTAGGTTACACATATAAATTTTTAATAAACTTGCTTTCTTTTATACCTATAGGATGGATGGACTCACCCCCTATTATATGGGACTCATAACATAAATAGTGAAAATTGGGTGCTACATTGTACAGTTGCATAAGTAAGTACACCTATGCCTACCTCTTCGGGGATTGGGCTCGCTGCCATTGCAGCGGTAAGTCCCCTCTTTGAGGAGTGGCTTGAGAGACGCTACGGCGTCTTCACCTACCGCCTGACGCAGGTCCTCACCGGACATGGAAGTTTCGGGAGGTACCTGTGTCTGATAGGGCGGGAGGAAACGCCCGGGTGTCATCACTGCGAGGACCGCCCTGAGGACACGGTGGAACACACAGTGGGAGAATGCCCTGCGTGGGCTGAGCACCGCCGTGCCCTCAGGGAAGTGATCGGCGATGGCGACCTCTCGCGTCCGGGCCTAGTGCAGGCCATGATGGGACTGGGATGCCGTCTCCTCCTTTTGCGAAGCAGTCATGCTAGCTAAGGAGGAGGCGGGACGCGTGAGGCAGCGAAGCGCTGCCTCCTCGCAACCCAGCCATCGCGAAGGACACACCGGGCGTCGGGGATCGCGGGACGATCTCCGGCCACCGTAAGCGCGGGCCTGCGGACGGCGAGCATGGGTGGCTCCCCGTCCGACCAGAAACAAACCCGAGCGTACGGCGCGTCGCGTTCCGCGCGCGCCTCAAAGAGCCATCAGACCACCACAGATGTGGGTGGTGGGTAGCGGGTAACTGGGGCTCCGGCTCGACGTGCAGGAGAAGGAACGGGGTGGTTTTTAGTCAGTAAGAATCTGACACTCCCTTCCGCCTCACCCAGGCGGGAGCAGTCATTCGATGATTTTCCCCCCTTAAAAAAAAAAAAAAAACCTCTTCGGGGATAAAAGGCGTGTTGTTATGTTATGTGTTACCTACATCTGGAATTTGAAACAACTTGCTTTCTTTTATATAGGATGGATGGCAAACGATTTAACGGATCAACCGATGGTGTTTGTCCTACAAGGTACCACCCATGGACAGATGGGAGTGTCCATCTGTTCATGGGCGACTATACAAGTCAATACGCAAATGTGTTGCTGGCCTTTTGAGAAGAGGTTGGGGTCTCCTTTATTTAAAATAACCAATCTAAATACGATGTACATCTTAAGCATGTATTCACGTCACGGAGAACCTAACGGCTTACCGGGACTCCGGCTCGACGTGCAGGAGAAGGAACGGGGTGGTTTTTAGTCAGTAAGAGTCTGACACTCCCTCCCGCCTCACCCAGGCGGGAGAAGTCATTCGATGGTTTCCCCCTTTAAAAAAAGCATGTATTCAGAGCGTAGAGATGAAAAGAATTTAAATAGGGTTTCTACATCTTTACATCCCCCTGTCTCCCGTCTCTCTCTTCAGACCTTGTGGTCTTTTAAGGTTCCAGCTTCTGAGGTCCTAGTATGCTATGCGAAGCATGTAGGTACCTTTATTAACTGCCGTTTCCAATGTCAATATCTGTAGTTTTGCCTATTAACTAGAGATTTATAGAACGTGACAAATGTGATAAAAACTTGCGCCAATTTGTTAATATATGTAGTTACCTACATAGGTCAATTGTAGATAACTGTTTACTTAAAGTTATTAACTTATCTTAATAAATAGGAAGGTAGATATGTCTATTACAGATCAAGGAAGAAGGTAAATAATATGAAAACTACAATCGCATTTTAGAGTACCTATATTATAAATTCATCTACCTATCTACTAATTTCAAAACAAGTTCAACTCACCCCTAAAATCCTTAAAATCACTGCTTAAAATACTGGATTAATGTATCGGAATATTTATCGTTATCGTATCGTTTCAGTTCGATGTTAAAAATGTCAACACAACACTGCAAACCACGCGGTTTTTCTTTACACACTCCCGTACAATGTCGCGGGTACCCCGTGCACTATTCACGTTCACACAGCTTCATTGATATCTCGCGTCTTACTGAAAACACGGTGCCTCGAATTACGGAGCTCGGAGAAGCCGGCTGCACCAATCTGTTGTCTTCCAACACATAAACAAACTGGCAAGCGGAATGAAGCTAGCCACAGATGAAGCGGCTATACACAGTATACTCTACCGCCCCGGAAAAACACACGCACGCATCAAACACGAAAACTACAAGACACAAACGATACACAAACAAAAATGAAGAAAGGTTTATTTTATAATCGACACGTAAGATCACATGATGAGATAGTATCGTGGAAACAACGAAAACAACGTTAAGTAGGGCCAAGATTAGCGCTAGTGTGACGTAGTACGCGAGCTTCCGCGTCTGCGTGATGGGGTCGCGTCCTTCAGATAGGCCAATTTCGACACTATGTCCTTATAACAGAGTCCATGTGTAAGAGCCATTGTCGGTTTGTATTGCAGCTTATTATAATTACCCGCACAATTTTGAGCTTTACCCCCCTATGATTCGGTTTATATTTGTGCGACGGTCGTATAAAATACTGCAGGCAGACGTGTCACGTGCGTGCAGGGGGGCCAGCCAGATGATCGCAGTTTGGTGAACTCACCCACGACCCCTCGATACAAAGCTTGAAGCTAAATGCAATTTAACAAAAACTTACATTTCGTATTGATTTCATTTTGGGAGTAGTCAGTACTTTGTTGTGCCAAATCCTTACTATAATATTATAAATCGGAAAGTGAGTTTGTTTGTATGTTTGTTCCGCTTTCACGCAGTAACTACTAAACCGATTGCTTTGAATTTTTACAGACGTAAAGTTAGAAGTCCGGATTAAATAATAGGGTACTTTTTATCCCGGAAAATGTGATATTCCCGAGGGAAAACAAAAGTTTGGGTATAGATGGCGCTGTGTGTATTAGTATATGTCACATAGGCTACTTTTTATCCTTTTGTGACGCGAGCGAAGCCGCGGATAAAAGCTAGTAATAAATATATGGGTACTTGTGATTGTATTTATGTAAAAGACACGAAATTATCAAAAGTATTCGGGTTACAAGAATCAAAAAAGTATATCCTTTAAGCTTTTCAGAAATAATACATCAAGCGACTGACGTAACTAATGTTTTGTCATTGTGCAAAACAGACGTTGTCTTTTGTCTTGCATATCCAGTTGAATGTATAAACAAAAAATCTTTCAAATTAGTTCAGCCGTTTAGGATAACTAACCTAAACACCGACTGCAGCGCCATCTGCCAGGCTGATTTGTGAATCTAAACCATTCCCAGATCCCCTTGAATACACACAAAAAATTTCATTAAAATCGGTCCAGTCGTTTGAGAGAAGTTTAGTGACATACACACTCACAGAAGTCACAGAAGAATTATATAATATATATAAATAAGTCTATACTAATAAGTCTAAACTTAACTAACCAATAATCGTAAAAAATATTTTGATGAGTCACTTTGAAGGGGAGTGTTGTTAATGAATGTAGGCTTATATAAGAGTCCAGGTGCACTCCGAACGTAGATAGTCCCCAGTCGTGACTGAGATATAAAAATTTTGTATGCTTAAACATAGCTGCCTAGTAATATATACATCACCTACTTTTGGCCACATCAGACGCAGGAAAACAGTGGCGCCCAATAAGCTGACCTACAAAATATTTGGCACTAGATAAAAGGAGCTTCAGAATCCAATAGGAATTTTCCTACCACTTATTTTTGATGTCAAGTAAAACAAGAACAATTCAATAATCATATTATATAATTGAATGACACAGAAAACATCAAATAGACAATAATTGTACACAAAATTGACACTTCATAATAGGTATGTATATAAATCGTAATTTGGTCAAGGGTAAATATTAATATTTTAATTAATACGATACAAAATATTATTCAATAATAAATATAGGTTTTTAAGCCGATCACAATAATATAAAACTTTCGTTTGAATTTCGCGCCTTATCCAAGTTTGCGCGTTTATATTATAAAATTGATTAAATATGACTAGAATTGATTATGATAAACTTAATTATTATGGCAAGATATTTGTATATAATTAAACAAAGAATTTATTAAAAAATGGAATGAATATTTGCGGTTATGAGCTAAGCCGAATATTCGGTTTGATTGACGAATACTACGAGCTGTCATTCGGCCTTAAAATGTCATTTTAGTTATGTACAGGTTAAATATTTAATTTGACAACGAGATGCATCTACTAAATTTGGTATATATTATTTATACGAGGAACGGATTTATTAGGAATATTTCTAGGGGTATACAGACTCATTAAGTTTGCTACTTTCTTAAACAGTACCTAGATAATAATATAATGTATGTAGATAACGCATTCGTGATCAAGTATACTTCTTACACGACATGAGATGTGTCTAGACTAGACGAAGAGTAGAATGAAAGTAATGCTGGTAAGTACTTGGTAATAGGGAAGATGACAATACGTTCATCATAATGAATTAATATCTATAGATTTATATTTTCACGGATAAAGTTCATACATTGTGTCACCGCGCGTCTAGTATAAACACATCCCAACGCTAATGTCGACTTACAATCTAAATATTATTCAAATATAAAAAGTGTATAACAATTCATTCAGATTACTATCATTTCCATAGACTAGGGTTAACTCCTCAATATCAAATATCATAAGATTATTCCCAAAAACAGCAGACTTTAGCAGACAAAACTCACTGGATACACTTTATATAATAAGTAATTATTTTGTGCTACTAAAATATCACACTTGTGCAAAACATTCAACAACAAAAACAAGCTAACAACAATACGATACTAATACACAACGAACCCATACACAAACTTGATTCAATGGTTGATCTGCAGGCCGAGTTTTAGCCGAACCTAATAGTGATGTCAAACACAAAGGCCGAACACGTCAATGATGATCAATAAATACAACGTGGCTTAACGACGCCCTAGAAATACAAGTAATTAGTGTCAAACAATATTACACATTAAAATTAATTCTCCGAATTTTATGACAGTAAAATTAATTCTAAATATTTACTTATGAAACTATGAACGTATAAATGTAATTGTTATATTCCCCAATAAAGTGCATAGGTTCATTGTGTAACAGTTAATAATAAAATAACTCTACGACTTCAAAACTTCGCGTGACTAGGCTTACCCTGCACTTACGATAAAGAAAGCAACAATAAATAAATATTCTACATAAAAATTTCTCAGGTAAAAAATTAACTTTCATAAAAAAACGCATTTTAATTGGTTAAGATATCTTTTGAAAGATAAATCGAATATTTTATTTTCCTGATGTTTATTTTGGTATCATATTTCGCCGAATAGTAACTAAACATTAGGCTTAAGCCAAGTTACGGACATCCCTAAAACAACTATAAACCTGACTAATTCGAAAATTCGAGAATAATTTGTAAACCTGTAAAAAACGTACGAAATTCAGATCAAAAACATTTAAAAAAAAGAAACTCACATAAAATAAATCTATTGACACAAGTCAATAAAATCTTTTTAAAAGTAGGTACAGCAGGATGGAATGTAAAACAAATTAGTTCCATTAACTAAAAAACAAAAATCAGTCTCATTAACCGTAGACCCTTTGGAATAAATATTTTTTTTGGTTCCAAGATGTAAAATGTTTTTGAAGATTATAAAATATGTTCATAAATTGTATAGTCAAATACTTTTAGTTCCAAGGTAAGATAGTGTATAAGATAGTATAAAATCACAGACTATAAAACTTAGCATGAACAAAACTTCTTGTCCTTATTGGCTTGCAGTTTCTGGAGAGATTGACGGCGACGGCCCGACGCGCAAAGCATCGCGTACTCCACTGAAGACTCCATTCTGAACAAAGACATTATTTATTTAGAAGTACCTATTTTCATAAGCCAAGAGGTCCCATGAGTATTGGAGATTTAGGGATAGGAGGGATTGGATGCGCAGAGCTGAAGACCGAGCTCAGTGGCGTGCCATTGGAGAGGCTTATGTCCAGCAGTGGACGAAAACAGGCTGTTGATGATGAGGGATAGGAGAAATGGGCTTCTGGTAACCTCACTCAAATTATTTCTATATATACAGATAATATTATATCGAGGGGTAACGGGCTATTTGGTTTAAGCGACATTTTTGGAACTTTACAGGAGAGCCTTTTAAAGTTGGAAATTTCGAAAAAAAATTCGTAACAAAAACATTTCTGCAGTTATTTGAACGGGGTAAATTGCATTGAAATTTAAATTAAATTATCTAGTTGCTGATGCTAATTCTAAATAAAGCGGACCTTTAATTACAAAGATAAATGTCGCTTAATACAATCTGCCCTTTTTTAGAGTCAGGAAAAACGATTTAAGTGACTTCATAACTACAATTGGCTACAAGGGAAAAAAATTAAGCGACAATGCACTCTATTTATAGAGTCAGCTAAAAAATATGAAGTGACGAAACCCAAAATTAATAGAAGCAAGCTATTTATCTTAACTACCAATTCAGACTAAAATGAGTGACAGGCTAATTTACTTATGTGACATATAACATTGAAATTATAACGTTTAATGTTTATGTTTATTTACATCTAAGGCGATTAATGGCTGATAAAACAACCTGGATATATCGCAATCACCAAAAAACTCAGATGCTTACATTGAATAAATAAACACAACACAATATCAAAGTATTTATTTAGAGTAATAATAACAGTTTCAATAGGAATATCGATTATATTTCAGCAAAATCAATTAAATTAATGGGTCATTTACTGAAATTGCCGTTTTGTATGAAAAAATTTAAACGATTTTTTCATGTATTTTTTATTTGTATAATCAACGTAATCACCCATGCAATCAATGCATCGTTGCCAACGCAGTGGCAGTTTATTGATGCCCTTCTTCAATCAGCTGGACGGGTAGCAACAAATTCTTCAAATGCATTTTGTACTGCCTATCCGTTATTAATTTTTTTCCCGCCAAGAAGTTATCCAAATTCTGGAAAAAGAAGTAGTCTGGTGACTGGTGAGTAAGGTGGATGTCGGAGAGCTTCACAACCCCAGTTCTTGTAACGTGGAGGCCGTCTCTTGTGCAGCTTTAGGTAGCGCGTTGTAATGCAGGAGCAATGGAGATTAGCGATTGACCAGTGCTGGTTGGAGATGTGTCAGCTTCTCCATCATTGTGTTCAGTTCTTCACACTACACATCCGTAGTAATGCTCACTCCGTTTGGTGAGAATTTGTGATGAATCAGAATAGCGCGAGCGCTAGACCATCAGTGACCATCACTTTTCTAGGGGTAAGTTTTCGTTTAGGGCATTGTTTAGGTGCTGAACTAGGATTCAACCAACATGCTAAACGCGTGTGGTTATCACACAGATTTCATTTTTCATCGGAGGTGACAATGCAAATCAAAATTCTTTCATTTGTGTGTATATTGAGCAGTGCAGTGCAAGGCACTACTCGATGCATTTTTTTTAAAGGTGGAAAATCATCGAATGACTGCTCCCGCCTGGGTGAGGCGGGAAAGAGTGTCTCTCTTCAAGACTCTCTCTTCTGTCAAGACTCTTACTGACTAAAAATCACCCCGTTTCTTCTCCTGCACGTCGAGTCGGAGCCCCGGTTACCCGTTAGGTTCTCCGCGACTCCGAATCGGCATCGACCCTGTTGGGCCCCATCTGTGGTGGTCTGATGGCTCTTTGAGGCGCGCGCGGAACGCGACGCGCCGTACAAAGAGCCATCCCAGTCCCCCTCGCACTGCTCGATACATACTTAGCTCTGTTGATCATTTAGTTTGTGGGACACCCACTTATCAAGCTTTTTTACCTTGCCAATTTGACGCAAATGTACCAATATTGTTTTGACGCTAACGTCGAAAGCTGTTGCTAAATCAGCCGTAGATTGTATGTCATCAAAGTCATTGTTGCCAAAGTCTTCGAACGACCGCGAGTTTCACCTTGAAATTAAAGTACTTAGGATTCAATTTCGATGAGCGTTTTACGTAAACACTGGCGGTGTGCGCGCGTCCCGTCTGTCTTCGGCGCACTCTGGAGTGACTGAAGCGCCAGCGCACGATAGTCCAGTTGGATGATAACGATTTTTAACACCAGGGCGATGAATTAAATATGGTATCATATGACATGATTGAAATGTACCATATTAAAACTTAGTGATTGAAAGACCGACTCGTATTTCTATGAATACTGGAAAAATGTTTCAATATTCATTATCAATGTTATCGTCTGTACAAAACGACATGCATTTAAAAAAAAATTAGGGTTAAATGGTTTATGACTAAACAAAATATCTGTACGAAAACAACTATTTGGTTTAAGTAGCACCCTGCGTAGAAATTAGAGGCAGCTAGAAATGTTTAAGAGACGTACCATGACGCATTTGGATGACGGACAAATGTTTTAAGCGACATCACACCGTGTGATTAGTGGGAAGTCAAAATGATTCAAGTTACTTGTTAATAAAAATTAGAAACAAGAAAAACGCTTTAACTCATGTTGACTTAATCATTAGAGATAGGGTGACTGGTTTATGTCTCGGTTATTAATATGATGGTATGGTTCAAGTACATAATTTAATAAAAAATGCGAAATCCATGTCGTTTAATACACTGCCACTTTGGAAACAACATGAAAATAGAATTGTTTGAAACGCCAAAAAAGTGCTCCGATTTTAATGAAACCGGCATCATTCGACGGAGAAAAATTCGCTGATTCCGAATATATATATAACTCAATATCGCCCAAAATGTCGCTTAAACCAAATAGCCCGTTACCCCTCGATATGTAGGCTGAGGAGCACTTATTAACCAAGATAATAATATTACATATAAAAACATTTGCATCTTGCATACTTTATTTTACAGAAATACAGTTATTTATAGCCAATTTCTTTTATTTTCATACATTCTTACCTGTTCATAATGCGGTCAAGTAAAATCTCGATAGCTCGGTCGATATTCTGTCCGGATTTGGCACTAGTCTCTAAGTATGGCAGGTTGTAGTTCTTGGCAAATTCCCGCGCACGATTCTGGTTCACCAGCCTTTTTTCTTGTAAATCACATTTGTGGCCACAGAGGACTATGTCTGGGTCATCAGAGAGACTATGAGTCTGGAAATATAATGAGAATAATTGCATACATTATTTCTTACAACAACCTACTAGTAGTACAATTAAGATAGAAAATAGCTTGGCAATTCTAATTTACTGGGAAACCTTCGAAATCCAAGTGTAAGACTGTTTAATTCATCAAAATGAACCTTACTATTATTGCAATAAGAAACAAAATAATTGATTACCTTCAGTTGCTCAATCCAATTCCTGACTTCAAGGAAGGATGCCTCATTGGTCAAATCAAACAGCAGAAGGAATCCCATTGCATCTCTGTAGAAAGCTGTAGTCAGGCTGCGGAATCTAGAATGTATAATTTTATTGATTAAGTAACCATTTATTAAGGGAACTATTTTGAAGAAATCGCATGTCAGATGAGCGGTGGGAAAAACTCACTACTGAGTGGAGCCACTCAAGCTCAATAGACGTTGTAGTAGGCCCAGGAGAGCCATCTCCTTCTGGCCATCTTCCTTCGTTCTATCCCGCCGGGGATAAACTGGCCTATGAAAAGGATTGGCCACAGAAAGCTATTTATTTACAATAAAAAGAAAATCAATTTGTACCTCTCCTGTCCAGCAGTGTCCCACAACTGTAAATGAATGCGATGCTGCCTCCCATTCTGTTGGTAAATCTGAAATATTACAAACAAATACTTAAGTCACTTGGTAAAACCTCGAATTTAATATTGAACGCAAATGGTCAATTAAAATACATTGCAAAAAGCTCATACGTTAATTAATTTTATCTGTATCAATCATTCGAGATAAGTAGGTAAATTAATGTGATAAAATATTAATGTTTGATAATGAACTCACCAGACTTTTCTCCCTAAAGTCTATGCCAACGGTGGAAATAAACTGCGTGTGGAAGACCCCATCGGTATATTTATATAAGAAGCTCGTCTTCCCTACTCCAGAATCTCCCACACAGAGAAGTTTAATGAGATAGTCGTAGTCCATAATGATATAGGGTTTAAAACAGCTAAGTTCCAACAAACTTGCTTCCGTGTTCCACCTCCCATACGTAACTGGTTATATTTCAGGACCTTTAACTAATAATACTGGTGCATTGTATACGTTTAGTACATTATCACAAAAATCACAAAATAAATCAGAAAAAACATCAACAATCGATCGGTTTCTTTATGACTTTTCTGTCAATAATGTCACTTTGACGTTTCCACTCCCAACTTCTGATAACACGAGGGCTGCCATTTCAAGTATTTGGTTTTCTACAATAATTTGATTTAATTTTATTAACAGAATCAATTACAAAGAAACTTAAACCAAAATTTATCCACGTTGTAACTCATTTATTTATTATTTATTTCTCAACAGTACATCCATGCGAATATGATCTGGTGACATTTGATTTTGAAGAATACAGAATGGCAACATTATAGAAATCAGCTGTTCTAAGTTTACAAACACCACATTTTTGGTAAATTAAATGGAATTTTAGATAATGTAAAATAAACTGACTATGTAAAGAAGGAGGATATCAAAATAAATTTTAACAGAATGGCTTGCACTGAACCTGCAAAGGAGAATCATCCCAAAGTCAAAGTGGAATATTGGTACAGTAATATTGTCGATTCAATAGTATTTTACATTAAATAGTGAACTGATTAGCATGATGTGAGAAGAGTTTTGTTTAAAATACAAGTATTGATAATAATGTGCTATGACTTGCTTTCTAAAGCTTTTTGATTAACGAGACCTAACCTTTACCAAAGAATACATTATTTTACCTCGGCTGGTGTTTAACCTATTAAAACGTCGGCTTTTTTATTAAAGAAGATTATTAAAAAAAAATTAAATGCCATTAAGGGTCATTTCCTCTGCATGAAATCTTTTTAACTTACTTTATCTGTGGTTATTTTCAGTGGAGTTTGTGATTATGGCGGTCACTGCTTAGCTCTTGGACAAATAATCAGAAAAAATACTCCTAACGCCACAATACACTGTATGCGTGGGAGACAAGGTAATATTTTTTTTAATAAGTAGGTATATTAATTTTTATTCTATTTTGTCTAGAATAAAAAATCAAACATAGCATTCTAATAGATTCAAGTTTGAGACTTCCATCCACCGTTAGAATTCAACAGTTCTTAAAATAAACTGGCATGCGTGGAATTGTTAGAATATTATAGAAGTACATATTTCGCTTTCAGGTGCCTTTGAAGTTGAAGTAAATGACAAATTAATATATTCAAAACTACAGACAATGGCATTGCCAGACTTTAACGAGGTAGCGGAAGTAGTAAACAATGTTTCATTAGGGGAGGAGCCTCGGCTAATAAAAGGACAACAACCAATCAACTGTGCAATATCATAAAATATATTCAACTCGTAACCAACTGTAATATAAACTAGTCTTAGATATAATATTAAAATATAAAATGAGAAAATAACAACTCCTTTTTTGTATATTACAAAAATATTATCACTTTACAATACCTACATAAAAATACAATTTTTTGAATAGATTTCTTTTTCTATAATATGAAAAAATATACTCTTTATTTCAAACAAGAAAGTACATTTTGGTACTATATGGTTTAACCGACTTAAAATTTGAATTACTCACTACTTAAAATGTAATGGAATGTAAGCAGCCAATTAGTATCAAACAAATTTTGGATTTATAAATACATTCGCAGACTGGACAGACTGTTTATTGGCAATTTTATTATCATTCAGTCTCTTTATAAATTCATAAATTTTTCATAAAAATACTAATTAAGTAGACAGCCTCTATCTGCTTATTTGGGTAATAGTAACATTATATATCCACCCAATATGCTAGGAATTTATTATTTAACATAATGAAATACGATTTCCTTTGGCTAATACAGTGGCAATAAAAAGTTGTAGTATTTAAATACTCCAATATTTTTAAAATAGATATCACATTATAAATAAACTAGTTACTATTTTAAAAGTATGTTTATGAAAACGAGAATTTAGAATTTTTACATAAATATATTATTATGTGTAATTTACATATCACAGCCTGTATATCCTGCACACTATATTACAACTTTATAACTAAAGATTTTGAAAATTTAGAAAAATATTATTTATTTAAAGGACCAGTCCATATCTCAAGAAGGTCTAATTAGTTGTGAGTTTGACAAATATTGCATTGCTTTTATGTACGATATATAAAAATATTTAAGGGTCAAATGTAGTGGGATTTCAGCCTCACAGTACATTTTTAAACCCTTCGTTTTTAAATTAATTACTCATTTGTTTGATAATAGCTATTTTTAAGCACTTGAGCTTAATTGTTATTTACATACACGCTGGTTGTATCCCGCACATTAGTTTTTCAAATTACGATTTTGGTCATCATATTATTATTTGTGCAATCATAGTTTTTGGTATGATTCAAATGTAAAGACACAATTTATTATTTTGTATCTAAAAAAATTCTGACCGTTTAATGAGATACGGATCATAGCCCCAGAAGGCAAGACTTTAAAGTAAATCCCATATTTATCGAGTAAAAAAATAATTCAGAAACCCAATTATATAACCCCACCACCTTACATTAAGTAACCCCAAATAAGAAAATATATTTTCTTAAATTATAATAACGTTATAACCACACGCTTATCTATATGTTTCACCTACTTATATCGTCTTCATTTATTATAGGTTTTACTGGTGTATGTATTTTTAGGTAACGGTCTTTAGAATTGTCCGCTGCACCCACATAACTTAAATAAATTCCGAATCGCAGCTTTCCAGCAAACTGTTCAGAGATTGTCCTAAGAGGTTCTACTGTTTTTTCGCCTGTTTGTTGGTCGATGCACACCATTTGGCATCTTGGGCAGAGGCCTTCGACCTGAAAGAGGGATTTAACATTTAAAACAATTAAAAAATTAACTCGTCGAGTACCGTATTTATAGACACAATTAAAGAACAATAGGTTGCGGTTACCGGTGACCGCTTGGTGTTTGACAGTTTAAGAAATCCTTTTTTCTTGTTTATAAACCACGTTGGGAACGACACAGACGAACATATCCGTTTTTCACTATCATAAACACACAATACAGTTCTTGCGCGACATAAAATATTTTTGAAATTCAAATAGGTAGGTATAAGACACCTTTCTTATAAAATATTTACGTCAATACCTATAGAACGAAAACAAGTGATTTTCAAGCATGATTCATCACTTGTGGGCACAGGTTTTTTGTTTTTTCTGCCAGAACAATTCTCTATTACGTTAAAAAAATAGACACAAGACAGCTATTATTCAGTGTTTAATTACCTTGAACTCTTGATTCCCAATGATGACTCTGTGCCAATCTCGTTCGGCGAGTTCTTCTTCCATATCAATTACGAGGTTTCCTCTAAATCGGTCGGCCAAACTGTCCACGTCATCGACGAATAGAGGATCCTGAATCTTTTCCCTTAACCATCGAACTGTGGCTTTGTTTATCAAGAGGAATTGAGCTTGGTTACTTAATGAAAGCAGTTTTTTTTCGCCATTTTGTTTCTTCTTTTGGGCTCTATTGTCGTCACTCGATTGTTTAATAAGACGCAAGTAGGATATCTCTAAGGCCTCCGATATCCAGTCGGCTACTTCATCACCACAGTCATAACCTTGGATGATGTCTGTACAAACTTTACTACGACATAGCGATGAATTCTTCGTTTTCTTGTCGGACGTAACATCTAATGGCACTGATACTGGAGGCTTATCTGCAATGTTAATAAAATAATAAAAAAGTTAATATTTTAAAAGTCATTTAAAAAAAGTTTATTAAGGGGACCCGTACCTTCAAAGCATAATACCATTACTCTTCTTTGCAGATCTATTTTAGGTTTTATCAAACACATTCTAGGAGTGTGTTTCTGTGTTAAACATACGCCATTATCTTTTATAATCATCCAATCCCTATCATATTCAAATCCTTTAGGTCCAATTTTCCATGCAGACTTAATTTTAAAAGCACCACAAGATTTAATCGGGAATATGGCTACTTCTTTTAATGTGATTTTAGCATCAGTAATATGATGCGGAATATCTTCTACGTCGTTCTTAAAAAAGAATTCGTGTTGATTCCATATCTTCTGTGCTTGTGCTATGCCGTTGTATAATTTATTACTTTTTAATGCATCTATTATTGTTCTATGACTCATTGATAAGTAACGTTTTGGTGGTTTCATTTTCGTTTTGACGAAGCACCGGCATATCATATGTATTAGTTTATCCACATCATTGAATGTGTTAAAGTATCCAAATGAAGCTCTAATTGCTCCAGTTGGTCTCCCATCAATGAGATCTACCTCGTCGCCACATACGTGACCCGATTTGTACATTTCTTTCAATTCTTTATTAGAAGCTACTAGATGGCGTTGACAGGAGCCGGAATTGCAAAAACATCCCGTTCTAACATTGATATTGAATAAATCTGCCATATGTTGAAACTGAAATTTAAAATTTACATACCATTAATTACTACATGGTATAAAACAAAGACGCTATCCGCCGACGTCTGTCTGTCCCTATGTATGCTTCTATCTTTAAAACTACGCAACGGATTTTGATGCGGTTTTTTTAATTGATAGGGTGATTCTTAAGTAATGTTTATAATGTATAATACATGCATATTGCACCCGTACGAAGTCGGGGCGGGTCACTAGTTTTAGATAAGGTAACAAGATGAATTTTTTTGCATAACAATCTTTTGTATAGACTTAGCAGATTATACAGTTACACTTAATGCGTGGATGCTTCAATGTTTCGCAGATTATAGTTGTAGGTACCCTACATTACTAGTGTTTTATCGTGATTGCATCTATCAGTGAAAAATTAACAAAAGAAAAATGCATAAATGCAAGATATTGCAAGGTAAATAAATACCAATCTTTCAAAATTAAACAAATAACAGCATGTTAAAAATACGCTTTAGTAGTGATAAGAATGGCCACTTAACAATATTTCGTCATCACGTTGTTTACGAATTCGTACTTAGTTCATACTATAGACATATCTATACGTATAATGTACAGATAATTTGTACGTTTATATATTATAATGTGGGAATATTGTAAAATGTTTCGAGGTCACGACAACGTCTTCCGATGATGCGATATTATCTACTGGTTGCCGAGCATCCCCGAAATCTCGCGTATCGAGTACGTAATTGAAATTTTGTATTGTTTATCAGTATTTCTAATTGGTATGCGTCAAATTAAGTTTTAATCTGAATATTCGTACCTACACCAAAAGCATGTGGCGTGCCTTGCTTTTTACTCTGTTTTTTTGCAAAGGTTTACCTATAATGTTTTATTTTTTTCACTTGCTGGATATAATATTTACTAACTATCTAAATCCAAGTGGGATTTTGGGCGACTTTACCACACGAGTTGTCCGCAATAGATCCATACGATCGGCCACCGAAAACTTTATTAGCGAACGCATTAGGGATATATATTTTTTTCAGCTGTTATAATTTTTTTGGTGTTTGTCAGTGTAATGTTTTTAATGCTAATAGAAATCAAATTAATGTTATTTCTTACCTCAACGAAACCAATATAGGAGCCATCTTCTCTTAAAAGATTAAATGTAACAATTCCACCTTGTTTTCTAATATCACTAAAGTTGGAATCCATGTATGTAACAGCTGCCTTATTACCATTTGCATGTTTCAAGTCGTGCAGTTGGAAATAAAGGTCTTTCGCTAAGAAATATGTGTGGTACGATACTGTATCCATTATATCATCGTATATTGATTTAGGTATTAACTTGTGCATAGTGTCAAAACAATGTTTCAATGAAAGCACTGATAGAAATGGTATTGTGCCATCCTCCATCCTGAAAATAATTTTTTTAGTAATATTTTTATATATATTTTTATGCATAAGAGAGAAAGGTATTAATATTATTCTTGTTTGCATTGGCGGTTACAATTTCAAAACAACTGATTAAACTGGTATGTTTGATCCAAATATGCTGGATCATACCAGTTGTGTTCCAAATTCAATAAAAATAAAATGAAAAGTTAATTAAGTATGGAGATTTGCATTTCTTTGTAATTCATATTTTTATTATTAAGTTTTTAGGAAGTCTGATAAGTGTAGCCAGTTAGTAGACTTTTTGAGTGAATGAAATAATTGTTAATAACTGACTGCTGTACAGAACACTTCTTAACGATATCTCGGAGCACCTAACGGGTTACCGGGGCTCCGGCTCGAAGTGCAGGAGTAGGAACGGGGTGGTTTTTAGTCAGTATGAGTCTGACACTCCCTTCCGCCTCACCCAGGCGGGAGAAGCCATTCGATGGATTTTGCCCCTTAAAAAGAAAATAATATGATTGATTATTACCTTTCATACAAATCTTTCCTCTTCACATGCATGTCTTCTGTACTTAAAACAAAATCAACAGTCCCACCTCCAAAATATTTCTTTTGGGATAGAACATCACTACTGCTATTCTTAATTAAAATTGCCCCCAATCCAGTTGGGTACCCAAATATCTTATAGAATGAGAGGCACACAAAATCTGGTTGGGTAGCGGACAGATCTAATCTATTTGTTGACACAAATGAAGCTGCATCAAGAAGAATGTACCAGTTATTATTGATTTGACACAATTGTTTTTTTAAGTGATTGTTGAGGCATCCATTTTTTATGAGCTCCATACAATCAATGGGGTACTTAAATCCATTGAAATTACTCTGTGCAGGGTATACCAGCAATGTGTTGGCATCATCCTTGTTTAGGAATTTATCCTTTCGCATTAAATGTGACTTTTCGTTATTACTAACAGCTAATAGGAAGTCTTCATGTGATATGTGTATAATGTCAGCATATTTGTCAGCAGCAATTTCTCTCAAACCAAGCACCGATGTGTGGTTATCTCTCAAATATACGAATGATCCGCTGTTTCTCTCATTATCTATATCGTCTACAGAAAATTGAAAAGATTCAACGACTAGTTTCAGTGCAGATGTTGTCCCCGCTGTAAATACAACTGTGTAAGTAGACGGATCTGTGTTGAAGTGCTTAAGGATGCTACTGCGGATTTGTTCTACACAGTCTTTAGTATATTTATCTGAGTGAGGGTTCATGTAGACATTATTCACTAGATCTTCATGTACAGCAGTGAGTAAACATTGCGGATATAATGTGGCCCCCGCATTTTCCAAATAACATCTGTCTGTAATTATACAAAATATGAACAATATAAGTAAGCATAAAATATATGTAAATTATTTTTTAAATGTGTACACAGCTGAAGGTACAAACATGTACTTTGTAAGATACAATGCCAATAAAGCAACTTGTTTGAAGGATAGAGAAATCCAACTAAATGTAATTAGTAATTACTGATAAGCTAGAAACTGAATTTATGCAGGTACTTTATTACAGGTAAAATGAATAAAACAGTTAATTTGAAATGACAAAAATACCTCTATCTATGTTTTAATAATTAACGTTTTTTTATGCAAATTAAACAACCATAATTTTAAAAGGGAATAAAATTAGCGCCAAAGTTATTTAAAGTATAACAAGTTCAAGTCTATGTAATTAATTATTTTATTCATTCGCATTTCACTGAAGATAACTTTCTCTTTCAATCCAGTTTGTGAGTCAACAAGCCTACATGTGTGACATTACAATTTAACTTTTAAAACGAAAGAGATAAGTACTTTAAATGAAGATATAATTAGAATCCACTTACCTCCCAACCTTGTGAAATTCGATGTAATTTTGATCATATGCTCTTGATCAATGACCTGACTCAGTGTGTTCATCTCGTTGTCCTCCTCATAGGGACCTGACATCATTAATGCATGAAATAAACACGCGCAAAAAAAATAATAAAAAAGTTTACGAACTCACGAGTTCTATATCTACATATAAAAAAATAAAAAACTATATGAACACTTGGTATTTGACGCTATGGACATCAATAAATCGTTACAACTAATTTACAGAATAACCTTGTACGGAGGAAAAGTATAGTGTACGTAATAATAAAACTATTATCTACAAAATAATAAGCACAACAACAATCGCACTGTACGGTAATGATCATCTGACTGACATTTGCGTGGGTGACAGCTCACAGCCTGACAGCTAAATGTGACAGACTGACAGACACGTTTGTTTTGACTTTTATGTCAAGGTGTTACCAAAATTATAACATAAACTACTAATGGTAGTTTACATAACAATCGGAATGTTATTGTTATATTGTTTATAAACTGTCGTAAAATGAAGCTAAATATTGCATAAAATATTTTGCATTGTTTCTAAATTAAAATGTGTATTGCCTTTGTATGTGCACGTGGTTAATGTATGCATAGAACGTCACAAAAATATTTTTTGCTTAAAATTATATTTTCGGGACCCCAACGTTCTGTACATACAATTACACAATATAATAATAAGTGATGAGATTTTTACAAAGTGGTTGTTAGTAACATAAATACGCAGATAACAAATTGCTTATTTAATTTTGAGGTCGCAGGCTTTGATACTTAAAATAAACTTCTCCTAATTTTACAGAGATGGCGTTAGTAGTCACAAGCGAGTTGTTTTAATTTTTACGTGCAGTAGCTTTTGTTGTTTGTAAGTAGATGATTAAGTAATGTAAAAGTTAAATTAAATTAGTATGTAAGTCTAACAGTGACCTAAGTTACCTAAGTTAATACCATTTAGTACTTGCATGTACATTTTGTGCCTACATACATATTTATTAGTTTTCGAAAACACAAAGCATAGCTTATAATTTTTAGCACACGAAATATAGAAACCAACCATACCTAGGCAGCAACCATCTGTTTTAAACTTTATTAGAAATGAATGCACCACTTTATGGTACCTATAATAATAAAGTAGGTAAAAACACATCAAAAGAGACGAACAGTGCTAATAGTTTTAAGTCTATTGCACAAAAGAGGTTCTCATACATAGGTAGATTCACCTTCGGCAGCATCGCCTTACTAAATTGAGTTACACAAATTTAATTATTGCTTTTATGGAGGGCTTTTAGTAGCTTTTAGTATCAAGCGGGGCATGATCGACTTCCCCTAAGTGAATTGACGGCCATGACACAGAATGTTCGCTTTACTGGCTGCACACTTTTCCTAGGGAACATTCTGACAGCCGGCGCCTTTAGTGGCGAAGAAGTTTTCGAATTACGATCTGAGAAATGGCGGGAAAAGTGCCCCTTTTGAAATTGGAAGTGGTTACCTGAGTTTCTTTTTTTTGCGGGTTTTGCTATAGGAATAAATAGCAAGCAAAGCGTATGTACCTACCTTTATAAATCATTTTATAAAGAATCCGGGCAATAAAACAGTTCTTCGATTTTAGAAATAATTCTTAAGTCCTAAAATAGTCAATCTATTAGTAACACATATTTAACATCACACCTATTATCCTTGAAGGGGTAGGCAAAAGTGAACATATACGGCACTGTCACTGTACAATGTAACACTCACTTTTCACTATTTATGTTATGAGTCCCATGTAATAGAGGGTGAGCCTATTGACATATACCGGACACGATTCCATACGCCGTGCGCTACTTCTGGAGTTTTTTTTTACACCCAGTAATACTTTACCCGACCCGGTAATCGAAACCGAGACCCTTTGCCCGGGAGTCACACTTGCATCCAATGAGGCAGATTAGTAACACAGTTTAAATATAACCATGATTTAATGTAGATAGGTACCCACTTTTTATTTCAGATAATCAGTTGACTTGAGTTAAATTTAACTTTGCACTCATAATTAAAAATTAATTCAGTAACAAGTATAAACGAGATTAATTGACTTCGAAAACCAGAATAAATTTCCGCGCTATAAAAATAAAATAAAGAAAGGAAATGTCCACTAACCTTAACTTTGACCTCTTGTTACTCTCATTTTGCTCGACTGACAAATGAGTTCAGATATCATAATCACCTCGTATTATAGCCTTCGTTGGCATGCTACTATTGTCTATTACTATCCCTATTGGTATCCATAAACAATTGAATAATAAAAAGTCCTGGAGGCGTGCGCGCGCGGAATCAAAGTATTTATTAAGTCATCATCAACCTATGCGTTATCTCCGTATTTACAAATATTACGAAATTATAAATCGATATTGTGGAAACGAAATACCACATTCTAATTACTTACAACTCTAAGTTATACTTACATAGGTAATAACATCAATAACAGAAAATTATTACCTGTATTTTTCTCTTTATACGATACTTATACGAATTTTACGAAATTGTACTTTTTTCGTAATTACATAGGCCTTACACGAGAGGACGAGAGGGTATTGACCTCTTACAATGTAGTATCTAGGCGACGAAGCTCTCAATTCGATATATTTTGAATTGTAGTTTTATAAGATAAGTGGCCATTCCCTGGCATCCCGGGGCCTTCGCACAAGTGCATTAGGTACTCCGAAAATTGATCGAAACTTGAAAAACTTCTTGAAATTGTTCGAAGTGTTCCTGATACGGTCTATGATTAAATCTACCTATTACTCCTACCCTATTACTCCTACATGAAACTTATTCAATAACATACTTTGAACGATGTGACCTATCCATGCTACTTGCAGATTTTAGGAACTATACTCCTTTCATTTTACACTTATCACGCCTTTCATCTATATCTATATCTATATATATATATATACATATATAAGAAAGTCGTGTTAATTACACTATTTATAACTCAAGAATGGCTAAATCGATTTGGATGAAAATTTGTGGGGAGGTAGCTTAGAACCAGGAGACGGACATAGGATACTTTTTACCCAATTCTTTTTTTTTACTTTTTACCGAAAATCATAACGGGAGCGGGAAATATCGGGATTGCGCGTACGAAGTCGCGGGCAGAAGCTAGTTAATAATATTTTCGTTTCAATCCGTTGACAGATAAACCTTAAAAACTTCATTTTAATCGTGATCATTTTGTACTCGGATCTTTCAACTCTCGCTATCAGATATCCTCGTTATAAGTAGTTTACCGTCAAACTGCATGACATTGGAAAAATATTTATTAAAGTTCAATGCTCTTAGCTTAATTATATGGAGTGAAACGTAAATATCTTCAAGTTATTTATATAGTATTTTGCATGTCTCTCAAATGAGTATCTCTTCAATGTATGCCACACCTATTTATGAATTAACGCCCAAGGCCGAGTGGTCATAACTGCGACTGCCGGGGCAAGGGGTCTCGGGTTCGATTCCCGAGTCTGGCAAAGTATTATTGGGTTTTAAAAAAATAGTAAGTAGTAACACGGAGTCTGGAATTGTGCCCAGTATATATGGCAATAGACTCATCCCCTATTACATGGGACACAACATAAATAGTGAAAATTGGTTTTATATTGTACAGTGGCATTCAGTACTGCGTGCACCTCTGCCTACCTCTTCGGGGGTAAAAGTGTGATGTTATGTTATGTTTACATTCTGTGCAGTTTAATACATTTATGGATTCTAAAAAAATATCTTATTTGATAAATGTAGACTAGCCTTCAGAGACGATGTTATGTAAAAACATATTTTATGTATGTTTATTGTTATCATGGCGTAGATTTCTACTGCTAAATAAAAGCACCACCGACACCTAAGACCGCCAACCTAGACCATAAGTCTTTACTTTTTTCCCTTCCGCCTCTCCGCAAGTTCCACTTAGATCTAGAGGGCGACACCTTCCTCTGCTGCATAGGTACCTAATTTAGTCCGATGTCACCATTTTTTTTTTTTTTAACTGGGGAAAATCATCGAATGACTGCTCCTGCCTGGGTGAGGCGGGAGGGAGTGTCAGACTCTTACTGACTAAAAACCACCCCGTTCCTTCTCCTGCACGTCGAGCCGGAGCCGCGGTAACCCATTAGGTTCTTTGACTTGGATTTTTGGGTAACATCTTTATCGAAGTTGTACTTAGCTGGGTATTTTGTCCAAGTTACTTTTGGGCTATAATTTGCAATGACTATTTGACATGATTTTTGTTAAGTTCATCTAAGTTTCATAATTACTTACAAAATACTTAAATAGGTTTTAAAATCCCGATTCACTCATCATTTTAACAACGTTAATTGTTCATACTACAATATTGTGTAAATCAATTATTTATTCAATTTTATTTAATGGCAATTATAATTATTCAATTGACAGCGGGAATTAACTACGGCATTGTTCAAAAATTCAAAATTGCTAGGTTAGGTACTACCGAAACATGAGGTGCTATTAACTCAGCGAATGAAATTAGTTAGAATTTTCATTATTAACGGTAATTTACGCTAAAATTAATTTTATAATATTGTTTATACAACAATTATGTGTAAAAATAAAGTTAGTGTTTATAATTCAAAAGTAATACACACGTAACAAATAATAATAGTCGAATACTGTGTGTAAATGCTTAGACACGCTCGTGTCTGGACGGGTTAACGGGGCTCCAGTTTAAAGCGGGAGTAGGAACGGGGTGGTTTTTAGTCAGTAAGGCGCCCTCATGCTCCCCTCTCGCCGCACCTAAGGCGGGAGAAGAGATTCAATGACTGCTCCTGTCTTTGGTGAGGCTACAGGGATTGTCAGACTCTCACTCACTGACTGAAACCAACCTAAGTACTTCAGCTTCGAGCTGGAGCCCCGTAAACCCCTGGAGTTGTCCATAGCTTGGGACTTAATAGAGTGATTATTACTATACATGCAGCTGATATGCTAGTGTGCTAACCATTTAGAAAATTCAAAAACCACGGGAAACATCATAATAATTATATTTTTCACGTCTCGAATATGAGATTCAGGGTTTTGTGTGCTCAACAGTCGTG